ATAAAGTCAGGACTACAGGTGAAAACCCTACTAGTTGTCTTTGGTCCTAAATGGAGAAAAAAARGTACAACTAAAACCTTGTGGGTGACAATAATTTCTCTGCAAAATACAAAAATATAGTGCATTTACTTTTGATGTATTCAGAGATCTCTACTGAGTACCAGGTGTAAAAAAACCCCAATATAAATAAAAAAATGTACAAGTTTTACAATTAGAACATATACAAAGATCCTCTTAAATCTCTGCTCTTGTTGACACGACTGACAGTGCTGCTGTCTTTGGAATCCCTTTCAACCTCTCCAATACAGTAAAACTCATCGCCCGTCCCTCCATACCACTCGTCCTTCATACAATAACACTCATGACACCATCCATATGGTAAACTTCTCACCTATCACTCCATCCTTTCATAATTGAAAAAAAAAATACATATATTTTTTTTACATATTTGCTAAACAGGACCACAGCTGAACCTTTCTACTCCAGAACTGAACAAGCTGAAGTTGGGGTGAAACGAGCTGAAACASACCTAAGAGGATTGTGAAAGTTGCAGGTTTTTCAGATGCTGAGTCGATTGTACCCTGGCGTTAATCTCAATTTGGCTTGAACTAATACCTCCCAAGCTCAGAAAAAAAATAAATAAATAAAAAGGAAGAGTTCTACCCTGTGAGTGTGGGACTCATCTCAGGGCTCAGTTTGAAAACCCGATCATGGAGTGAGGACTTGTGGGTGAGAGACGGGGTGAGGCCTGTGAACTGTGGCGTTTTGTGCTGACTGTATTCATTTCAAAGCTTTGGACCGGTCCCAACTGCTGAGCTCTGCTGTATGGATGAAAGGAGTGTGTGTGACAAAGAGCTCTGGTCAGGGCTAATTCCTGGTGTCTCTCCATAAAGGTGAGTGCCAAAGTGAAAATGGATCTACAGTAAATGTACGTCCACATAAAGTCATTTGCTGTTTTTTTATTTTTATTTTCATGTCTGAAACCAGAACATGGATCTGTTTTCTACAGGTTCTGTCYACAACACTGATGTTTGGGATTTCTGATTTGATACATTTAGAACAAGTTTTAGTTTTTCATTGTTGCTAATAACAAGCTGGCACAAAGACCTACAGTCTAATCRCCTAAATGTTTACCATGTTCAGAAAATTTGTGACCAGTGTTTTAAAATAGTCACGTATTTGTTTCAATAATCTCAATCCCTTCTCAGTTTGCCAAGCTGGGCACAATCAGTCTGGCTCAAATTGGCTGCTGGGAACATGGCGRCAAGGCTTGCACTGAAACTGAAAATTAGTTTATTTTCTCATAATTTTAAGTTACCAACAGTAAGAACACAGTGACGTGCTACCTGTTTAAACTAAATAAATTTATAATTAAAATCCTGCTCTAAGCCTAGTTGTGATTAGCTTGTTGAATGACCTCAGTGTGGAGAAATAGACTTTCCATCCGATTGGACTGATGAGCTAACGGCTAGTCTAAACGGAACTACGACCAAACTGGACTGCTTTGTTTTTAAAACTAGTTTTTACAGTCTCATAGCAAATTATGTGAATGCCATTTTGGTAAGCTTTTACACCACCATCTTTTTCAAATYATGTTGTTTGTACATTGTACAATTCTGATTTAATATATTTCTGAGAGTAAATAACAACAACATGTTGCCCTGTGGCTGCAGACTGAAGACACTTCCTCAGCAATATTTATTTGCCAAAATAATGAAATAATGCTAAATTTATACTAGGGATGCACAATAGTTATCGGCCCGATATCACGGAATTATGACATCATACTTATCGGTCCGATATCATAACAAACAGAACCGATAATATATGTATATATTTGCCAGCGCTCCTTTATTTTTATCCTTTTTGTTCAAGCTGCTTCCTGTTCGGCATGACCCGAGCAACGTTCAAGTGGCGTCAGAAAAAATAACTTTCTCATTATAAGAATAATTAGAATACTCCGTGCTGAAAAACAACCAGTCATTTTAAGAACTATTAATATTATTTTACCAATTAACCCTGTATGTTACACACAAACTTTATAATTACAAACATAAAAAGGTCAGAACARCTACTCCTAATTTGAGAACATGTAATGTCCSTTACCWCCTGAAWGCARCAYAAAGTCTGTMTGCTAAAATGCTAACAACAACAAGCTAGCATTCAAGAACTAATCGAGACTTAAATAATTCCTGAGGCTTTTGACAAATCCAATAAAATTGCCAGAGAGGACACAAATCTCAAGCCCTTTAATGATGGAAACGATGGAGCTGGACAAGCAGCCGTTCACCCTTGCTAAAGACCAAAGCTTTTATCACCTGTTAGCCACGGTTTACCATCGTTAGCCACGGTTTACCATCGTTAGCCACGGTTTACCACCGTTAGCCACGGTTTACCATCGTTAGCCACGGTTTACCATCGTTAGCCACGGTTTACCATCGTTAGCCACGGTTTACCACCGTTAGCCACGGTTTACCACCGTTAGCCACGGTTTACCACAGTTAGCCAAGGTTTACCACAGTTAGCCATGGTTTACCACTGTTAGCCACTGTTTACCACCGTTAGCCACTATTTACCATCATTAGCCACGATTTACCATCATTAGCCACGGTTTACCATCGTTAGCCACGGTTTATCATCGTTAGTCACGGTTTACCACCGTTAGACACGGTTTACCACCGTTAGCCACGGTTTACCACAGTTAGCCAAGGTTTTCCACAGTTAGCCATGGTTTACCACCGTTAGCCACTGTTTACCACCGTTAGCCACGGTTTACCATCATTAGCCACGGTTTACCATCGTTAGCCTCGGTTTACCATCGTTAGCCTCGATTTACCACCGTTAGCCACGGTTTACCACTGTTAGCCACGGTTTACCATCGTTAGCCATGGGTTACCATCGTTAGCCACAGTTTACCACCGTTAGCCGCTGTTTACCATTGTTAGCCACGGGTTACCATCGTTAGCCACGGGTTACCATCGTTAGCCATGGTTTACCACGGTTAGCCGTTTACCATCGTTAGCCACGGTTTACCACCGTTAGCCACGGTTTACCACCGTTAGCCACAGTTTACCACTGTTAGCCATTGTTTACCATTGTTAGCCACGGTTTAGCCACGGGTTACCATCGTTAGCCACGGGTTACCATCTTTAGACACGGGTTACTATCGTTAGCCATGGTTTACCACCGTTAGCCACGGTTTACCACCGTTAGCCACGGGTTACCACCGTTAGCCAAGGGATACCATCGTTAGCCACGGGTTACCACCGTTAGCCATGGGTTACCATCGTTAGCCATGGTTTACCACCGTTAGCCACGGGTTAACACCGTTAGCCACGGGTTACCATCGTTAGCCACGGTTTACCATTTTTAGCCACTGTTTACAATCGTTAGCCACAGTTTAACATAATTAGCCATGGGTTACCATCGTTAGCCACGGTTTACAATCGTGAGCCACGGTTTACCATCGTTAGCCGTGGTTTACCATGCTGAACAGCCGCTAACTCTGTGTGTCTTACAGTAAGTATGATGCAGTCGTAATGCATTCACACTCTCAGAAGCTGTTTCAGGTAGTAAAATGTTTTAAATCATATAT